TGCGTGCCCAAAATTCAGAGAAGAGAATGGAGGGGAAGGGATTGTGGCATGGCGATCCTCCCTAGGGGATACTTTCTCACTTTATCTCTCTTTCTCTGTCTCTGGCAAGTGCACATTTCCTGTAGCAAAAATTTCTAAAAATTGAAACAAAGGCTATGTGATTTTAGACAAGCAACGTCATCTCTTTATACCTCTGAAAAGTGCAAATAACCAAGCTGCATACTTGGTGTGGTTGTGAGGATTTGAGAAAATAAACTGGCAGAGGTAGGACATCCAAAGGTTGGCAGTCGTGCCCGGCAGGGGCAGTGCTCACTAAGCCCCTGGCATGATACCTGACACCCCTTCCTTTTCGCGAAGCACTACTGTTTCCAGACATCATTTTTCCTGCATCAGCCTGCAAGGCAGTCTAGCACCCCATTCTTGCCTCTGATGTACAGGGGAGCCCCTTGTTTGCAGCCCCTTCAGAAGGAGTCAATTCCCTCCTGCCGAAAACCTCTGCCGGCACCATAGCCCTTGGAGTCGAGGCCCTCCTCTGCAGCGCAGGCTCGGGCTCTTCCTCACGCAGCAGGCTCCTGCCTCAGCTGCCCGATGCGTCCTCCCTGCCCTGCACTCCCCTAAATCCTGTCCTGAGCCCACACACCTCTTCAACCTGGATTGCCTCTGCCTGCCCACCTGGCTCATTCCTACCTCCTTCAGGGCCTGGACAGCCATCACCTGTGCTAGGAACCCCTCCCAGATGTCCTGAGACCACATAACACAGCCACCTGTCATGCGAGTGCGCAGACCTCCGAGTCCATGTCCTCGGCTTGGTACCCCGACAGTCATGTGCCCTTCTGCAGGCTGCCTTGCCTCCCTATGGGGAGTGCTAGGTATGCTAGCGACTCTGATAACCCCGGCCTCCTAGCTGCTGGCCAGGAGGGAGGACAAAGCTCGTCCTTAGCAGGAGCCTGGCTCATAGCGAGCACTTGGTAAGTGCCAGCTGTGTCACCTGTGTACCTGGCTGTCAGTCCCTGCCCTGCTCCTGACATGTCACAAGCCCTTGGCTTCCCCATCCTGTCAGTGAAGCATCTTATCCCTGAGGGCTGCGCGTGCAGTTGCTTGGGGGAGGGTGAAATCACGTGAGACCCGTGGAGTCAGTGCTTCTGAGCGTTTTTCTGAGAAGAGTCAGGCCACCGTAGAGACCCAGGCCTGGATGGCTGTAAATTCTACCTGCCTCTCTCCCGAGTGGCCCAACCACAGCACGACAGCCCCTGCCAGGAACTGGGCACTCCAGCCACCTGCACTATCAAGGACAGACAGCTTCGTGGTTCCATCTTGGGTAGCTTCCCTTGGCCCCTCCCCAGCTGTCAATGTCCCATACTCAGAGAGCCTCCTTGGTCCAGGACTGAGTTAGTGTTCGAGTGTTGGAATGGAGGGGTGGATCTTTTCTTTTCTTTCTTTTCTTTTCTTTCTTTTTTAATTTTCTTTTTTATTTTTTAGATTTTTGCCATAGGGCAGATGTGCTTTTCAGAGAAAGAGAGAGAAAGTGAGAGTGAGCAAGAAATTACACCCCACCACCACCCGGGAGATAGTTACACTGCAATCCCTTCTCCTCCATCCTGTTGGGATTTGGGGCACACATGGATACATGTTCAGCACATTTTCAAGCTGCTGGGTCCAGGTCTTGAATTGTGGAGTCATCCATGTGGGATCCAGTGTCTTAACCACCACACTACCTCCTTCTGGAACGTCTTACTCCTCAGGGACCAATTCAACCCCCTCTTCCCCTTAAAACCAGTGCCCTGTTGGAGAAGGCAGGACTCAGGGCGGGAGGCTAGGTGCTCCTTCCCAGGCATCCTGGACTCTCCGTGTTTCTTCTCCCCTGACCCTCAGGAGGTCTATGGCCCATGAGTTCTATCAATAAATAGCCTCAAACGCCCTCTCTTCTCTGCCCATTTGGTCCAAGCCCTTGGCATCTCTTTCTCAGACCATTAAAAATCATAGAAGATTCTGTTTCCCTTCTTAATCCCCTTGATGACACCTCAGTGCTGTTGGGATGAAGTGAGATGGGCCAGGCCCTCCATGACCCCCACTCGCCCCTCTCACCTCTTCTCACCTATCTCTTCCCCACCTGTGCTTTGGCCTTGCCTGTGGGAGATTCCCTGACTGAGCCACACCTTTCACCCTCCACGCCTTCATTCACACACACCACTTCCCAGCCTGTGGTATCCATTGAGAAATGGAGACAGCTCTCCCTGGGGGAATTCTCCTGGCCCTCCAGAGCCAGCCCAGATCCCCCTCCTCTGGGAAGTGATGCTCCCTGGCTCTGTCAGAACGAAGGCATCTCCGAAGCTCCCGCAGCTCCTGTGCGTGCTGCAGGTGCACAGATGCAGCTGGAGGTGCCAGGCCAAGGGCTGACTCCCTTGGGCAGACCCCTGGGCCCCTGTCCAAGAGCTGGTCCTTGGTTGGTCAGGGGCAAAATGTGGTTGTCCTGGTCCTGCCTGCCAAAGGACTTCGTTGGCTCCCTCAGCTGGCACCTCCTGCTGTCCCGCCCACCCCTCCATGGGGTGGGGTCCTCCTCCATAGCCACCCTGCTCCTCCTGAGCCGAGATCAGGGCTCTTCGCCGGCAACCAGCACCTGGTTCACCTGGCCCCCAGTAGGGACGCAGAAACCATCTGATGAACAGATGGATGCATGGGCGGATGGACGGGGCAACGAATGCACCCAGCTCACCAGACTCTTGCATCCCTTCTCAGTTCTAAACTCACAAGAAATTGAGTAATGGTAGACGATGAAACTGCTTGGGGGAGGTGTGTGGGGATTTTATGAGGAAATTTTTTTTTTTTTACTTTGTTTTTAATTTTTGCTATAGGGTGCGTGCACTTACAGAGATAGAGAGAGAGAGAGAAATCATCCCCCAGTGGGGATGGCCACACCAAAATCCCTCTCCTCCATTCTCCTCTCAGGACTTTGGACACAAACGCACATGTTCCTGGCATGCTTTTTCAAGCCACCAGGTCTAGGACTTGAACCGCACTTTTGGTCATGTGGGATCCAGCCACCTTAACCGCCATGCCACCTGTCGATCCTGTGAGGCAGTTACTTTATTTATTTAGTTAGTTAGTTTTTCTTTTCTTTTTCTTTTTCTTTTTTTTTTTTTTTTTTTTTTTTTTTGCCACAGGATTTGTGCACTTGCTGGAGAGAGACAGGGAACGGGAAAGTGAGAAATCACTCCCAGCACCCCCTCCCAGGGAGGATGGCCATGTTGCAGTTCCTTCTCTTCCATTTTCCTCTCAGGACTTTGGGCACACACATGCACTTGGTGTGTTTTTTAAGCTGCTGGATCTGGGACTTGAACCATGGTTGGCTATGTGGGAATCCTGCACCTTAACCACCATGCCATCTTCTGGCCCTGAGGAAATTTTTAATGGACTCAAGAGTATACACAAATAAGAAGAGGCAATTGGATGGTACACCACAGCAGAGGAAAATAGTTTAATAACATATTTTATTTTAATTAATGTATTTAAATTTGCCAGAGGATACATGCACTTGCCAGAGAGAGACAGAGAGAAAGAGAGGGAAAGTGGAAAAGCATCCCCTGAGGGGAATGGCCATACCACAATCCTTTCTCTTCCATGACTCTGTCCTTGAGGGTTTCTGGGTATGCATAGACCTGGCCTGTGTCTGCCAGGTCTAGAACTTGAACTACGTGGTCGCCATGTGGAGCCCAGCACCTTAACCATCAGGCCATGGGCTGGCCCTTAATATGTATTTAGGGAAAAAGCTAATAGAACTCTTATCAAATGTGCAGACATGGTGCAATGTTCCATGCGGAAGAGAATGAATATGTGTACATTCTTGATTTGATTATTATACACCCTTTTAAAATACCATACTGCACACCACAAAGATATACATTGAATATATATAAACCAGAAATCATAACTTTTAAATATAACTAAATAAAACCTCACAAGAGACTGATGTATAAAACTAAATTTACTTATTTCTAATGGGCCGTGTCTATCTTACAGCAGAAATACTCCTGAAGGCCACATTCCAAATCTCTCTTTCAGAATAAGGGTAAGATACTTTCTGATCCTCAAAATACCTTTTTTTTTTTTTTTTCCGCCAAAGAGCACATGCATTTGCCAGAGAGAGAGAGAAAATACCCTTCCCCCCATGGGACGTGGTCATGCCACAATCCTTTTTCCTCCATTTCTCCATCTCATCGTGTGCACACGAGCCGGGTGTATTTTCCAAGCTGGAATTTAAACCACGGTTGGGCATGTGGGCTCCAACTCCCAACGCACAGGACTTTACCACTATGCTTCCGGGCCAGCCCAAAATACCCCACGGAAACTCTGTCCCCTCCAAGCTACAATCACACAGCTTTGGGGCTGGACTGCAGTGGACTGTGAGTCCCAGTCCCGGTCCAGACTGACTGTGATATATCCTCCTGGGCAAGTCATTTCCCCCTCCAGGGCTCAGTTTTCTCATCCGTCTGGTGGGGTTATCCACCCTTACCCACCTCTGTATCATGAAGCTGGAAAGGTATGCACAGGCACCGCTTACTGAGGCTCCAGGACTGAAATAGGACCCCTACTTCAAGGCTGGACAGCTGGGTAGGGGTGGAGAGTGTGGGGTGGTAGGACGGAGAGCAGGATGGGCAGAGGGCGCTGAGGGGCCCCATGAGCTGCTTTGTCCAGATCTCCTACTGGACAGCTCAGAGCCCCCTGGACGGCTTCCCACTGGGAAGATGACAAGTGTCATGTGTCATGTGCAATCTCCCGTGACTGATCAGTAGGGCCTGCTGGAATGACTGGGTTGAGAAAAGCGCTGAGTAATGTTTGCCTTGAGTGCCAAAGGGGCAGGAAGGCATATGCTTCACATCTGCACCATCAAAAGTTTAAGCCTCAGACTTACCTTCTCCAAGGGGTGACGAGATCAGGATCCACACGCAGAGACACTCCCAGAGCATCCCTCTGACCCCAGAAACAGCACTAAAATCACAGAAGCAGAGTTCCCTCGTCTTTGTAAGAAGCTACCCACCACAGTAGCAAGCTCCAGGTCCCTGGAGGCTTTTGGGCTGAGGCTGAATAACTTGAAAGGAGGAGTCAGTTGCTCCTCAGAACGATGTGTAATTCCACTAGCGACTTTGAAGGTTCTTTCCTGCCCTCGAGCTCTGGAAGTCAGTGTTCAAGTGCTGAGTTTTCAGGGCCATTTCCACCAGCCTTCCATGCTGGCCAGGGCGGAGCTCAGGGTCCAGGGCAGGAGTACTCATCCGACCAGTCGGAGCAGTGCTGCACGTGGTCCCGGCAGAGAGCCAGCGGGATACAGTCGCAGTACTGGAAGAAAGTCGAAGGGCAGCGCCACCACCCAGGGCCACAGGGTGGGCACTCAGTCACTGGGGAGACAAGAGCCGTATAAGAGGAGCTACTGCGTACTGGAATACCCCGAGCACCAGGGCACTCCCTAGCTCCGAAACCTGCCATAGCTCCCCACGGCCCCACCCCAGCTGATGAGAGTTGACTCTCTGGTTTTCCTGCAGCAGAGAGTCTAGCTCCAAACCTCACTGGTTGCATGACCTCGCTCACCCTGTCTGAGCCTGGTTCCCTGTCTGCTCAAGGTTGTTGAAAGTAAAGAAAGACGCAGCATTCAAATATTAAGGGGTGCATAGAGTCTGTTCCAGCTCTTCCTTCCCTCATCCAGCCTCCAGCCACATAACCCACCCTGTACCCTGGGCCTCCAGCATTCCTCCTCGCACTCCCAGCTCTGCCTGTTGAAATAGTGGCTGTTCTCTCAGGCCTGCTCACATGCCGCCTCTCCTGGGAAGTCTCCCTGATTCCTCCAGGGCCCCAGCACTTCCTTCTGGCATCAGCATGTGAGTCCGGGGCGGGGGGGGGGGGGGGGGGGGGGTAGGGTACATGCCAGACTCCCAGCTATCCTTAACTAGAGCTTGGCACCAGACCCTGCTGCCAACAAACAGTGCTTAGAACATGTTGTTGAGTGAATCCTAGGCAGGGTTTTAAAGGAAACTCTGGAACAGTGAAATTAGGACTCCGGACTTAGAGTCAAGAGACTGGGTTTACAGACACGCTCCTTTCCCGTCACTCCTTGTGTCATGTTCCTTCTTTCCTAGGAGCCGTGGTTTTCCTACCTATCATACAATATCATAATTATAATAGTATAATACAATAAACATGATATAATAATCAGGACCGGTGATTCCTGCCCACTCTCCTCACAGGGTTGCTGGGAGGGGAAGAGAAGACAAGGGAAACCCAGACTCATGTGCCAGTTGGACCACATCTGTGCATGCACTCCTCGCATGACTCCCCCCCGGGCCCGGAGTTTTATTGTCTGTGCGCATGTAGGTAAGTCCCCACCAGAGAAGAATGAACCTCCCGAAGGAGCCTCATGGAGTGGTAGTGAGGACTCCATCTTGGAGGTATCGAAGCAGGGGCAGAAAACTTCCTGGGATACCAGGAAGGCAGGGGGTAGGGACCTAGGAGAGGGCTGGGTCAGCCTCTGGGCCCTGGGCCCTGCCTGGCCGCGGCTCCAGCCTCGCCTGTGACCTCACCTGGACTCAGCTCGTCTGAGCAGTCCCCGCAGTTGTTGGTCCCGTCACACTTTTGGTCTGAGTAGATCCAGGAGGCCTGGTCTCCGCAGCGGGCCACAAGGAAGCTGGGGAGGCTCTGGGGCACGTCTCCTACAGAGGGTGGTTGGGCAGGAAGTCCGTGTCAGCCACAGCCATCTTGGGGCTACCTGGAGGCAGAGCGTCCTGGCTACCCTGGAGGTTACCCAACTTGAGGACAACTCTCATCCATGTCAGCATAGGCATGAGGAGAGGGTTTCGGGTAGAAGGCCGAGTGAAAAGGAGAAGGGTGCTCTTTGTGCCCCCGAGAACCCGCAGAGCCGCCTTTGTCTTCCTGGGCTGGGTTCCCACCTCCACTGCTGCATGCACTGTTCCTCCCCCCAGATCCCCCGACCTCATCCATGCAGCCCTCCACCTTCAGGTGCAGGTTCAAGCGCCTTTGCCTCTAGGAGGCCTCCTTCTGCGAGAGCATAGCAGACTAGATGGGGGAAGGGCCTCACTGGGCCCCAGAGCCCAGGGTATGCGGTTCACATGCACCCACAAGAGGGAGTCGGGCATTTCTGGAAACCGGGTTCTGCATCAGGCAGCCGTGTGGCTGGATCCCCAGAAACTCATGCAAACTCAGGCCACATCACCAGAGCAAATCTCAGGCTGAGAGGACAAGCCTTTGGTCGGACCCAACCAGGAATGCTACAGAGGTTTCTAGGACTGTTCAGGGAGAGGAACGTGGAGCAGGGAGGACAAGAAACTGGGACACAAGAGGGGAGGCCGTGAGAGTGCTGGGTGTGGCCTGGAGAAGGGACACTCAGGACAGCGCTCTCTGACTCCACGCTGTGCCATCTCACGGAGAGGGTCTAAGGGTCAGGTGTTGCCGAGAAGGCAGTGCGGACCCCAACAGGGATACTGCTGGGGGAGGGGGGTCGGGAAGCTCAGGACACGGAAAACTTCCCAAAGGAGACCTCCCATGAGGAGCGGCTGCCTGTGCACCCTGGCGCATGCCAGCAGAGGCTGGCTGGCCTCACCGGGCTCGCTGAGGGCTGGTTTGTGGGGGCTGGGGACAGACTGGAAGACCTATAGGATTTCTCCTCTTGAGGGCCTGAGGGGTAATGTTTCTCCCTGCACACTCCCCGACCTGCCCAGTCCAGCTCGCCAGGCTCTGTCTCGGGTCCAGGTATTGGTTTGTGCATTCACACCCACCCACGAAGCCCCAGCTCCTCTCTCTTGAGAACTCTCAGGTCTCTACAGCCTGGGGCCAGGTCTTCCCTCTCATCCATCCATTCATCCATTCATTCATTCAGCAAGTCCTTCTGGATACTCTTCTAGGCCAGGAACCGGGAGCCCAAGGTAAAACAGACCAGACCTGTCCCAGAGGATCTCACAGTCTGAGTGGGGGTGGCAGACACACTGCATGCCAGTGGGACTGAGACTCAAGGAAGCACAGGGGCTGTGGGGGCCCAAAAGAGGGAACTTAATCTAGTGTGGGAGTCAGGGAAGGCTTCCTAGAGGAGGTGACTCTTGAATTTGCCTTAATGGATGAATACAAGTTATTTGGAAGTGGAGACGCACAGATTAAAGGCATTCCCTAGTGTGGGCATGGATATGGGTACATGGCTGGGAGGGGCTGGGGGCCGGCATGCCTGGCTGAAGGCCCTAGGACAATTGAAGGTGTGAGGACATGAAGGGGCTGTTATGTCCAGGGGTGCACTAGCTTCAGTATGGGGGGTCAGGGGGCCACCCTGGGGCCCATCCGGGACAGGGGCCAGACCGAGCAGGTACTCACCGCACAAGCCCTCGTCCTCGTCCTCGCCATGGGGACAGGTGCGGATGCCATCACAACCCCCACTGGCCGGGATGCAGCTCCTCCGGTCATGGCACAGGAAGCCTGTCCTGTTTGACAGTGTCAGGCAGGCCTGGGCCCCTGAATGAGCAGGGGGAGTCCCGGAGGATCAAGTGGGTGCTCATAAGGGCATCACCTGGGTGAGCAGGGGTGTGCGCTCCCCTCAAACCTGCCCCAGTTCCTTCACTGGAGCCCACCTGAGCTGGCCTGAGGGGCTGGGGCAGTGGGAAGGATGCGGTTCTGGATCCGTAATAGCTTCACCCAGCTTTACCATCTGCTAGTTGTTTGACCTTGGGCGGATGACCTGACCTGTCAGCCCTGTGTCTGCAAAGTGCAGCATAGCACACACCCACGGGACTGTCGTGGGGATGAACAAGAGCTTCTCTGTGAGTAAACACGGAGTGTGCAGAGTAAGTCAGGCTTCTCTCCTTGACTGAAAACCCGTTTGCAGTCTCCCGGGAAGCTTCTGAGGACAATGCGCAATTAAATGAATGATTCAACGTGTTTGTTTTGTTTTGCTATAGGGTGCATGTGCTCATGGAGAGAGAGGAGATGGAGAGGGGAGAGATCATCCTCCGGGGAGGATGGCCACGCTGCAATCCCTTCTCCATTCTCCTCTTGGGACTTTGGACACACACAAATACATGCCTGGTGTGATTTTTCAAGCCACTGGGTCTAGGACTCTGCCACATGGGATCCATCTACCTTAACCTCCATGTCACCTGCTGGCCCCAAAGAGTGGTTCTAATGGTGGGTCTCCTGGGACTGGGACAGGTATCAGAGGTAATGCATCCGGGCTGACTGGGGGATATGTCAGAATCCCTTACAGCTGGTACAGCTCTACAGTCTGCAAAGCACTTTCACATTTTTCTTCTGTTGTTCTCCCAAACGCTCCTGCAAAGTGTCATCATTAGCTCGTCCCAGGGCTCCCCCAAAGAATTCATAGAGAAACCAGTGGATGAGGCTGGCGGCCACCTGGCCTTGTAGAGTGTGCACGTGTTTACATGTGCACAGCGGGGGAAGACAGCTTTGTGCATGTCTGTTTATACACACACAAACCCTGTCTCAACTCCCGGCACTGCCTCAGGCCTTACACACACAGATGTGCATACAGATATACGCACTGACACACATGCTCGCATACACAGACACACCTACTTCCTCAGACATGCACATGTAACAGACATCTGTGTACACACTGGCACATAAACGCACATGCACGTGCACACAGGCACCCTACTGCAACCCCCCAGTATCCACACACAGATACATGGACAACACATGCACACAGATATACTTACTCAGATGTGCACATGTGGAGACATGGACAACAGATGCACACAGACACACGTACACTGTCAGACGTGCACATGCAGGTACATGGACAACAGATGCACACAGACACACGTACACTCTCAGATGTGCACACGTGGAGACATGGACAACAGATGCACACAGACACACGTACACTCTCAGATGTGCACACGTGGAGACATGGACAACAGATGCACACAGACACAC